AAATCCTACAGGCCAACTCCTGCTTGGTTTTCTTCTCCATCTGATTTTGAAGAGATGGGATATTTTGAAACCAGTAAGAGCTGGCAAAGGCAGGTGAGGTTGTTTGAAGGATGAACCAAAAAAGAACCCAAACATTTCTTGATTATTTTTTTTTAATTTTTTTTTTCCTTTATTTAAAAAAAAATTCTTCTCATCACAACCTTAAAATCAATCAAAATAAACAAGAGCTGCAGAACCTGGGACAGAGGCCCCAGAGTCTGTACATATGGAAGGTTTAATTTACCTAAAAATCAGTGCAGATCTTTGTCCAAAAGCAACAACCCATCCCCCCCCTCCCCAAACCCCCTTTTTTTTAAATGAAAGGAGAACCTGAAATACAAGTGAAAGAGGAAAAGAACTGATTTTTTTTTTGAAAACTCTTGTTTTGCTCTGAGCCACAACTTATTAAGGGATCAGCCCCATGTGGTTAATTAGACATGACTCTTCATCAAGTTCAGGGTCAGATTTCCAGCCACTCTCAAATGATTTGGTTCCTACCATTATGGGACACAGAAAAGTCTTAAGAGGAGAATGTTCCTGACCCAGCAAAGGGGATCTGAGGGTTCATCTGGGGGAATTCTGATTAGTATCTCTGATATCTGCACTTCCTTGTGCTTTGAAGTTCTGACTGGTCTTTGCTGGGTGAGGAATCAAAGCCAAGTGTTGGATCTTTGGATTTCCAAGGAAAAAGGGGGACAGGACATTGGGGTCAGTGCAGTCACCCCCTGCCCAGCAGGGATGTCCAGGCAGGTGGGCAGAGCTGCTTCTCCTCATGGGTTACAAGTGTTGTGGCATCCTGTGATGTCTCCTGATCCCAGCATCACTCCTGCTTGGATCAGGGCCTCACAGACGTGTTCCTGTGGGTGGCAGGGATGGTGGGAGTCACTGCAGCTCAGTGGAAGTTGGTGCCACTGAGGGCACCAACTGCTCCTGACAGGCTGGAGCTCTGGGGCTTTGGATGAGGCCTGGGTTGTCCCAAACAAACCTTCCAGCAAATGACTAAAAACTCTTTGAGTCCCTGAGATCCTTTGCTTTTGCCAGAAGGCCAGGAATTGGCCTGGCTCGTTGGATGGGCTGGGAAGTGACCTGAAGCCCTGAGACTTGAGCATCACCCCTGTCCCTGCAGCATGGAGGGCAAACCAGGGGGCTCTGCCAGAGCAGCCAGATCCTCTCAGATGCCCCAAACACACTCAGAGCTGCCATGT